ATAACTAAATTTGAAAATGTAAAGCGCGAAATCTAATTAACAAATAAAAATCACAGACATGATAATACAGCTAACAGATCCATTTACCAGCAAATTATTGTGATTATTATATTTAATGTAGAATTGCAACGAATATTAAGCAACTATTCGGTATTCTGCCTATTCGATAACGTTTTTACTATTCGGCCGAATATCAAGTATTAGTTTATGTTTGAGATTGAGGTCTCCAAAGGGAGCGTTCGAAAATTGGCGCGTTAGCGGCCATCTCGCGCGGCACACGGCTCGTCGCAAATCAGATCACGCGCAAACAGCGGCGCTGCACGAATCACGCCAGGCCCGCGGCATCGCTCGTGCCGTTCGAAGCGGGCCACGCAGCGATCACCCGAGAGAGCTAGAATTGCAAACCAATGCAAATAACAACGTTCTAATTTTCCTAATCATCGCAAACAACGCCAAGTTCGATCTCTCGCGAAAACACGTCGAACATTCTAGAATAGGCAAAGGAACGATTGTATAAAAGCTCTCTCGGGGAACCGCCGGGCACACTCGATCGTGAACTACATCCGTGACAGTGTGTTATTATATTGTCTAAACTCTCGTGATAGAAAAGTCGCTCGCTTTTCCAGTTCGTACTCTCGCTTACGAAACGCGAAGTTTTCGATAGTAATAAAAGAGATTTCTCGTCGCTCGCGATTAATCTCTCGCAATTAAAACGCGCCGTTTATTCCGTCGCTCGCTGAATCGCGCCGTTTATACCGTCGCTTGCGGTATTCACGATACATCCGCCGCTCGCGAAGAGTATCTTTGCGCGTCCGGTGCAAACTCGATCTCGCAGGGCTTCGCTCGCCCACGTCCACTTCTTTCTCGCACAGTTTACTATTCGGCTGAATACCGAATAGTTTTAAATATAAAACTGGAAGGAAATAGTAGCTATTAAAAACAAACTCCTTTTACGTCGCGCGATCTAAGCTACACTAAGCGGACGAACCTGTCACAATATGCACATATGTGCACAGTGATGCGAGGAGGCGCAGTCGGGAGTGCCGCTCGCCTGCTGCATTGTTTTCAGTCTAATTGTAAGTAGATGTTGAACCTAATATTCGGTCGAATATACTATTCAATATTTAATGACATTTAACGGCGTGTTATATTTCCAAGTTTTTCAGTGTCTTACTCATATTTTTCCAGGGGAAAAACTCAAAACAACATCAAAAAGTGGCTTCATAAAGTATCAAAAAACGAACGGTCTTCTGCAGAAAATCCTGCACCATCGTGTTCTACTTCGCAACATACAGTGACCCAAGATAAGAAAATTCCTTCCAAAATCCGAAAAATTATAAGAAAATATGATCCAGATTACATTAATATTGGATTCACTGTCACTGATGTAAATAGCGAACCACGGCCTCAATGCGTTATCTGCTTTGAAATTCTTTCAAACCAAAGTATGAAACCCTCTTTATTGATACGCCACTTTAGCACGAAACACCCAATGTTGGAAAACAAACCAAGAGATTTTTTTGTCTGGAAACTGTCGGAGCTAAAAGGCACAAAGAAAATTATATCTTCCTTCTCTGGCAGCACGCAAAAAGCAATTGAGGCGTCTTTCTTAGTTAGCTTAAAAATAGCAAAATGTGGAAAACCTCATACAATTGGTGAAGAGCTATTATTACCGGCTGCGAAAGATATGGTGACATGTATGTTGGGTGACCAGTCTGCTAAATAGCTGGATATGATACCTTTGTCAATTGATAGTGTTACGACCCTGTATTACATTTCTGTGCCACGATGTTATGCCGCTCGATGCGGTGGAAAATGAATATTATCTCCGGGACGACGGATGTGTTTGTTGTTAAACAACGTCAGACATCTTGTAAATAAGAGCCACCATCTTAGTCTGGTGACGGGTGTCATTCCGTGCGGACATAGATATTTGTTATTACGACTTTCGATATTATCTATTCTGTGTTCCATGTTAGTAGGATAGTAAGGGCGGTTTCAGACCATTTTTTTCAATGAGTGCGAGAGAGAAATCTGTGAGAGAGAAGGGGACGGAGATATGCCTAGAAAGAGATAGAAAGATAACCGAGAGGAGTTGTGGGGGCTGGGGGGAAGGGGCGAGAGGATGGAGGTTCGGGGGAGCGCGTGACGTCACGGGAGGGAGCGGGTACGAGATGACGAGATCGCCCGAGAGATGACGCTCGGGTCGATCGGGGGTCGCGGTTCCTCCTCGGCGCGACTCGTCCCTTAGACGAGGCGACGAGATCGCCCGGGAGATGACGCTCAGGTCGATCGGGGGTCGCGGTTCCTCCCTGGCACGACTCGTCCTTTAGACGAGGCGACGAGATCGCCCGGGAGATGACGCTCGGGTCGATCGGGGGTCGCGGTTCCTCCTCGGCGCGACTCGACTTTGGCGCGTCTCGACCTTAGCGCGACTCGTCCCTTAGGGGTGGCGACGGCGACTCCTCGCACCGCTTCTAGCGCGCGATCCGCGAACGGACGCCGGGTATCCGGCGTCGAGAGAGACAGGGGATCGTCGGAGGGCGGTCGAACGGAGAGAGGAACGGTTAGCGGCGATACGAGCGCGCTTATCGCTCGAGCGAGACGGCGAATCGTAGAAAGGTCGTGGAATAAAAAGAGATCGTCGTTTTCGCGCGAGAGGAGGAGCATTTTTATTGTTTCCTTTTACAATATTTTTAATATATTAATAATACAATAGGGGGAAAAGGAGGAACGGTGAAAGAAGGTTCATGCGAATTGGAAGCGGATAAGGAAAGCAAGAGAGGTGGAAGTGGCGTGGAATGAAGAGGAGAAAGCACACGGCGGTAAAGAAGAAAGAAGAGAAGGAAATAGCAAGGGAAAGGGAAAATGTAGGAAGAGACGACAATGCACAGGGAAGGATGGAGGAAGGAGCCACTGGAAGAAGTGAGAGAGATAAGGGGAGAATTTGAAATCAAGAAGAGTAGAGAGAGGGAGAGGAAGGGGAGAGGGACAGAGGAGGCTAACATCTATAGCTGAGGAGAACGGGGAGAGGAGAGGGAGCGATATGAAGGAGAGGAAGCACAGGGGCCGGGCACAGAGGAGAGAAGAGGAGGAAAGGAAACTCAGGAAGAGGCAGCAGGAGATGACAGGACGGGGAGTAAGAAAGGAAACCCTGGTGGGACTTGAAGAAAAGAAAAATGGAAGGAAGACAGAAAGGAAGAGGAGAAAGTGAGAGGTTAAGGAAGGAGAGCACCGACAGAAGAGGAGGAAAGGGAACAGAGAAAAGGAGGGAAAAAGCGAAGAAAAAGGTGAGAAGAGAGCACAGAAGAAGAGAGAAAGGGAAGAGCTAAACAGGAGGAGGAATAAGAGAAGGACAAGGGGAGGAAAGGATAAATGGACAAAGAGGAGAGATGAGGAGAAAAGGAGATGCAAGAAAAGGAAGGAGGAGTTGAGAGGACGGAGAGCAAGAAAGGAAACCCTGGCGGGACACAGAAGAGAGAAAAGAGAAGGAAGAGATAAAGGAAGTGGAGAGAGGAGAAGGAGAAGAGAGAGTATCGAGAGAAAAGGTGGCAAGGGAAGAGAGAAGAAAAGGAGGAAAGAACGAAGAAGAAGGGTAGAAGAGAGCACAGAGGAAGAGAGAAAAGTAAGGAATGCGGTGATAGTTAATTAGCTAGGAGGTTATGGACTGATGAGGAAAAGGGGAAGTGAGAAGGAAAGAAAGATAGGGGAGGGGAGGGGAAGGCAAGAGAAGAGTGAAGAGAGGTGTCAAGAGGGGAGAAGAAGAGATGATGAAGTAAAGGACTGTAAGAAGGTGTGAAAAAGATTTTAGAAATTGTTAGGCGGGAGAAGTGATAGGAGAAGGAGAGGAACTGTAAGGGAGTAGGAGGTGTAAGAGAGTATGAGAGATAATTGAAAATTGAAAATTGTAAGTTTGGAAGTGTATAAATTGCAACCCCATTGGGGAGTCAATAAAGACCATACATACATACATACATATTAATAATACAATATTTGATATATATTAATAATGCGATAATACGAGTACGCGGATAAGCGTATCACAATTCCCTGAAGAGCAGAGCCTGCAGCTCGCAATCGATCAGATCGTTGCGGTCGAAGTTCTCGTTCTCGCGTATCATCGTGGGAACAAGCGCCGAATCGTAAGCGCCTGCCGCGATATCGAGGAAGCGAGTCAGCTTGTTATCCACGTGCGCGGTTAAACCGCTTATAGATGCGACGATGCGGTTGACGCAAAAAGCTCCAGATTTAATATAGTTACGACGGTGCTCTTCGATATGGTCAGACGAACCTTGGGCGTTTCGAAACGGAGTATTCGGAGATTGTTGAGTTTGCCGAATCGCAGCATCAACTATCCGATGTATATCGGCGCCGGAGGGCGCGCCTCGTCGCGCTCGTCGGAGCGAAAGTGCGACAGAAGCGTGGATCGTAGATCGAGCAGTTCCTTCCACGTATCCGGCGTTAGCAACATCACCTTGCCGTGGCAATCTCCGAGGACGATCTCCACGAAAGAGGGTCAGCTGACGTTAACGCTGACCTCGAGATGTTTGTACGCGGTTTTGGTCAATGGGTAGCGTCTTCCTAAGATTCTGAGCGGTTGCGCGATCGAGACGTCCGCGTCGCAATCTCGCCTGAAAATGGACGCGGGCGATGAGAAAAACGGCGCTAGTGTATTATTAGTTTGAATAAACGTTTAATAGTCTTACCCATTGTCCTGTTTAACTCTCTTAGCATATCCCGCGCTATCCTCGCGGTTTCGCTCGGTTACTCTCGATCGATCGTCGAACGAGTGCTGCTGCTGCGGTTGCCTCCCCCCCCCCCATCGTCGCGAACATCGTCGCTCGTTCTTTCTCGCTCGTAGGCTTCGGCGTTCTCCGAATTCGACAATGAAGCGCTTAACGGATGGATGGTCCTTATATACTCGCGTAGAGATCGCTTCTTCCCCTTTCGCGCGCGTCCTCTCTTATATTCTATTTTTTTAAAACGACGGCGAGGTCGTTCTAGTCATCCTCCTCGTCGATCCTCTCTCTCTCGGTCGCGTCGCCGAGACGATAGACGCGACTAAGGAGATCGCGCAATTGTCTTAGCAGCCCGTCCGTAGGACACTCGATACCGAGCGAGAGTAAATCGAAAGGACCCGCCGAGGTCACAATATTCGTGAATTCGTTGAAGGCGTAGAACTGACGTTTGGCGAAGAAATATAGATTGTCGTCGACGTATCGGAAGGCCGACGTTATCGCGGGCGGTATTCCGAGAAATACATCCTTCAACGGAGCGTGTCTAATGGCTATCATGCGACACTCGTCGATCTCCGCTACCTTGTCGTCGTCGTAGATCGCGTAGGTTCGTCCCGTGTGCGTGTTTATCGCTGCGTTGATCTTAGCGTCTCTGGGAAGTCCGATATCGTGGAGATATCTCGGCCAACCCGATTTTAGCTTAAAACTGGGATATTCCGCGAGGTAGATCGAATCGCCCGCGAATAGCGCGAGATCACCCGAGGGTCTTCGATACGTGGCGGATAGGCGCGTGAAATTCGCCGGGAGAAACGTCGCGTAATCCGTGAGCGTCATGGGTTTACCGTAGCGTCTTTCGACCGACCACATGTTGCGGCGATTAGCTATGTACAATCGGCGATTCATTATCAGCGCCGCGTCCACGCGCCGCAACGCGCAATGATCCGCGCGCGCGGGATCGGTCGGCGCGACGCTCGTCATCGCGGGAGTCGCCGTCGAATAGTTTCTGTCGTCGAGAGACCCGTACAGATTCTGTATAGCGAGGACGTCCTCTATGCTCAGCTTAACCGGAAATTGATTCTCGATGTCGGGTATATACGGGAACATTATCGAGTCGTTGCGCATGCTGTGCTGTAGACCCAACGCGTGGCCGATCTCGTGCGTCAGCGTTTGCAGCAGGTAATGCGTGTCGGGAGAGGATTCTTGTTTAGATACACGTGCCACGATTCCGAATCGTCGACGTGTACCTCCGACGCGAAGTCGGTCGCTCCAGAGGGAATGAACGCGTGAGCTAGGGCTCCCCCGGGACCGTCGAAGGTCGCCGGGCAAACGCCGACGTTCCGGCCATTCGCGTAAGTGTGCGCGCCCGTTCGATACGATATCAGTATATCGGGGCGTAGCGGGTCGCGCGCGAAGGTTAGCGACGAATTCGCCGTCCATAACGCGAACGCCGCTTCGGCCATTCGCAAGAGTTCCTCGCTAGCTACCTGAAAGTTCCACGTGAGACGCGTTTTCGGCCATTTTCGCGCGATCGGGCTATACGCGCGATCGGGAATGTCCGAGAGACCGCATCGCGGTTTGCGCATAAGGCGAAGCGTAACGGCGTCTAACGCGCCATTTCTCGACAATTGATAGTATTCCTAAAACAGCGATAGCGCGCGGCGCAGAGACGTCGCGTTATCGGACGACAGCGATCCTCCGTCGTCCTTCAGAAAACCGTACGCGCGCAGGAAGCGGAGCGCCTCGGCCTTTTCCGAGTCGACGGGCGCGGCGGTCGTCGCGGCGACGAGGGTCGTCGCTAGGACGAGAAGAGCCGTCCTTGCGTTAGTCATCGCGCGGAGCGGGAAAGACGCGGGAAACTATCGAGAGACGCCGGGCGCGATTGATTCGCGCGTTCGGCGAGATGCCTATTTTTATCGTTGACGAATTCGGCGCGGGTGGGGGAAGAGGAAATGCGATTCGTTCGAAAAAGAGTCGCAGTTCGCCCCGATTAGAGGGACGCGACCTTTCGACGATGAGCGAATATCGGCCGAGCGTCTGGAATGCGCGTTATCTAGCGGACGCTCGAGTTCCTCTCACGGCTTTACTTTTTTATTATTTCTATTTTTATTATTCGTTTACCCCCTAAGAAGGATACTCGACAAGCTATTAGAGAAACGTACCCCTTCCGGCGACGATAAACGTTCGCCGAGTATCCGGGGTACGCGTTATCTAGCGGGTGCTCGAATCTTTCTTATTGTTTTTTATTTTCTGTCATTTTCCTCTATAATCTATTTTTATTATTCGTTCGTCCCTACTTGGTCGAGCGATTAGAGGAACGATCGCGGGAACTTCGCGACTATCGCGAAAGGAAGACGCGGTTATAGTCGCGTCGCGATTTTCGATAAGGTGAAAAAACGCCTATCGAGGAAAAACGCGACGATCGATAAATCCTACCGCGACATCCGCGCGTCGATCTTTATAAGCGCGAGATCGTTTTGAGAAGAGCCAAAGTATCTTCGTTCGCGAAATAGCGAAGTGATTAAACGCGAAACGACGAGGCGCAAAGTGGCGAGGTGCGACATAGCGAGGATCAAGATCGGTCGCAAACTGTGCGACATGGAACGAATCAAGCAAATAATCAACGCGGCCGATTACATCAACGGTGATTTAATCGCGATAAAATCCTACATTCTGTGAGACCTCGTTTCGGATCTGCGCGAGGAGGCGCGAGGCGTTATAGAGAACAGTCCGGATTCGTTCAGACTCGCCTTTCAGTTGGATGGAGACGACGATATCGCGCGTTTAATGTAAGTATTCGATCGAGATTTTTATAATAATTTTTATAATAAATTATAATTTTTTAATGACTCTTTTACTTTTTTCTTTTAGACAACAGATCGTGGACTGCATAAAAACGGCGCGAAAATCACTCTACGATCTCGTGACGAGGACGAGGACCATGCTCGAGCAGGCGCAAAGCGTTCACAGAGCGTTGCGCGAGGCTCGCGAACGCGACGTCGCCGAGGACGCCGCGCGAGCCCCCGAGTTCGATCTTCGCGAGCGCGACCTTATCGTCCCTCGTGAAATGGTCAACGAACTTCACGAGCGCGACGTCGACGTTAAGCGAGTCGTCGCGCAGCCGATCGACGAGGAGCCCGAATCGCGGCCGATCGACGAGTCCGAGTCGCGATCGATCGACGAGAAACCCGAATCGCAGCCGTTGGAGGACGAGGCCGAACCGCCGACGGGCGAGGAGGAAGAACCGTCGACGGGCGACGCGGGCGAACGGTCTATGAATTACGAGCCCGAATCGCAACCGATCAACGACGAGGAGTAACTTTACGCGCTAATAAAATTCGATTTTTGTCCGTACTTATATACTTCATATATCGCACGCGCGCACGCATTTGTAAGATGCGATTTTTTTACGAATAAACGCTATATGTTAAACGAAGCGCCGATTCTTTCCGCTTCTCTTTCCTTCTCCGGGATCCTCTCGCTCTCGCGCTTCTCGTAATAAGCGTCGCCCCGTCCTTCTCTCGCGCCTCTCGTAGTAAGCGTCGACGCTCTCTTATCGCGGAAGAATACGCGCTCGCGATAAAAAGAGTGTTCGTTTAATGTGTAAAGATAAATTTATTTTAGAAAAAATACATGTTTAATATAAAATATGTTTAATAAAAATATTTTAATATTTAATATATCATGAATCTTAAAAAGATACTCGCAATCAAGTCTTCGATCTCTTGCTCGGAGGCTCGTCCCACGATTCTTCCGTATCCTCCTCGTAGGGTTCGAGCCCGAAGAGACGTCTCATGTCTAAATAGAGACCGTCGAGATTGTCCTCCCATACGTCCTCGCGGATCTCGCGCTCGTGTCGCCGCAACATTCTCGTAAAATTCCGGTGTTCGATATTTACGAATCCGGGAATTTTTGTATCGCTCGTATTGTCGTACTAGAAAATAAAATAAAATTATAATATATTATAATATACTATACATAGTTAATGTAACAAAATAAAAAATGCTACTTACTCTTTGAAACACAACCAGATTTAACAGGGCTCTCAACAGCCCCATCGCCAAATCCTGCGCCCACCATGTAACATTCCACAGACCCCGACACAATACCGTTTCGATCAACGATGGCATTTTTTATAATATTTTAATTCGCTCGCTTCGAATAGTCAGACCGTCGAACGCTTTGTGACGGACATCAGTATAAATGTTTTAAAATAGAAGATGCGCGAGCGATTATCGCGGGGAAGGATACGCGGCCGCGATAAAGGAAAATCGCGGTTCGTTCGTATAACGTGTATTTTGCGACAGTATGACGAATACATTCATTAAAGCTTAAAATAAATGGTTAAATTTATAGATTATATAATTGACTAAATAGATTATATATAAAGTTTAAAATATATAATTAAATTTATAGATTATATAATTGACTAGATACAATATATATAAAGTTTAAAATATATAATTAAATTTATAGTTTATTGATTATATAGTCTCGATACATTATATAGTATAAAGTTTAAAATATATAATTAAATTTATAGATTATATAATTGACTCGATACGTCATATAATATACGATGATGCATAATATACAATGATTCAATATAATTTATAATACAAACGAGTAGATATAGGATGTTTTACATAATTATAAAGTAATATAGAATCAATCGCGCATATCGCGCAAACGATCGCGTCGCTCGAACCACCAATCGCGCAGTTTGCACGCGTTCTCCAACGCGCAATTCCTCGCATGATATCCGCAGCGGAAGGCCCGCGAAGCGTTCAGAATCTCCAGACGTCCGACGTCCTCGTAATCGGCGTCGATGGTCTCGACGGAGACGGCTACGTCGCGATCGTCGGCGACGTTTCCCAAAATCCCGATCAGCCACTTCTTCTTCTCGTGACCTTTGACATAGATCTGCACCGTTGAATCGGGGCTAGATCCTCGGCACACGGCGTCCCGAACGAGTCTTTTCATCGACCCGTAATTCACGTGTCCGTCGTTCCACTTTAGTTGATGATGGTTCGACGCCAACCAACACGCTCGCGATTTTTCCGCTCTCGTGAACAGATCCCAAGACATCGGTGGGCGAAAGATGTGATGCGTCAATTCCGCGCCATTTCTTAACACGGCTACTTCTTTCGCGACGAATCTCTCGTTGACTACGAAACCTTGGAGATCGATGAAGATTGGCGCGTCCATCGTCGTTGTTAGCGGTACTTGAAGTGTTCGCCCCTAGATTTCTCCTTAAGCGCTTTATTCTCTCTCCATATTTTTTCGAATATCATCGCGCTTACACGATTCTACGCACGACGTTGGTGAGCGGATTGTACTCTACCACTCGATCGTGAATAATAATAAAGTAGACTGTGGTGTTAGAGGGGATGTTCTCCTTGCAGTCGAACTCTACGCGATCGTCCACGGTAGCGATCTTGATCGACTCGTTCTGTCGAGAACAGTCGATGACCACGAGCGGGCCGTGGATTAAAAATTTATTCAGATTTAAGAGCGCTTCATCGTTGTCGCATCCGTAGTACGTTCTTCGAAATTTCGAGTGCATGTCGTACAGCACGGCGACTTTGTGCTTATCGAAATCCAGATTCATGTCGTCGTAAGGATGAAAATCGGAATTAAGATATAGCTTGACATTAGTCAGTTTGCAATCGTCGAATAGGGAAGGCTCCTCGGACAGAACGTTCTTCTTTCCGGACTGTAGCACGAAGATAACGTATCGCGGTTTTTCGAGCTGCGTCGCCGCTTTGAGCTGAGTCGACGAGTGTTTGATCGTGCTCTGTAGAAGCGGAAACTCGTAGAGTTCCCACGAGCGAAAAGCGATGCTCAGGTATCGTCCACTATCCAACGTGCGCAATAACCTTAAATAATTAACGTCATTTAACACTATATGAGGCATTCACCACTGTATTTTTGACAAAACGATTTTAGGCTCTTGCGTTTCGCGCGATATGATACAATTGTTATCGTTGCGCGCTCGTATCAGAATAAGTTCGTGTCGCGCGTTGATCACAACGCGCTTATAATCCTCGCAGAAACCTAACAGCACGTTGAGAGGTATGCAAAAGTTGAAATCGCCGATCGACGAGTGGGTTACCGCCGATAAGTCCCATCCAGCGTTCTTTAATATCTTGCCTCTCTCGACCGTCAGCGACGCGTAATTCTTGATCGTGCTCGTTATCCCGACGTTTCCGTTTCGATCGATCTCCACGCCGTCGAGCTCGTAGCGAATCTCCTCGAACATAAACGTCGCGCAATTGTTCACCAGCCTTGTCGCTGACGCGACTTCCCCCTACGCGCTCGGCGGCTCCTTCGACTCGAGTCTGCCCTCGACGTAGAGAAAACTGTCGCACGGTAACGTGTACAGATCCTGCTATTGTATAGGAATTCGTATCTTGTCGCTATTCCCGAACGTGGTATTGGCGTAAGGGTTGTACGTGTGAGTCTCGATCTTGACGATGCGATCATCGAAGACCGGCTCTCCGCCGATGCTTAGAATGTCGCACATTCCGCTTTTACGGAGAAGCGGTCCTCGGCACGACGAAGCCCAAGGAGCGCAGGAAAGCCGCGTTGGCGACGGTCAACCTTTCTCCCTTCTTCCATCTCTTTTTCGCGTCTAGGGGCGACGCGACGGCGACGACGGGCGCGTTTCTTACGTTCGACCCGTTTACTACGAGCATCGCGCGCCTCTCTACCGTTTTCGCCGCACGTGCAGACGAACCGTGATCTCCTCGCCGCGAAAATCGATCAGTCTTCCGTTCTGATCCACGACACGCACGTTTATATCGGTAATGGTCCGCGCGATGATCGGGAGGTAAATGATCTGCGCCGGGATCTCCGACACTTTATATCCGGATGGAACGTTAGGCGCGAACTCGTATATAGTATGCGCAGATTTGTCGTTGTGATACGCCCCTGTCGTGACGTTGCACTCTACTCGAATGAGTCAATGGTCATAATATTTATCGGTTTATCGGACGCGTACCATTTATTCGGTTGTAACACGCGAGACGAAAAACCCAGTAGCGAACCGATGTTATCGGGTTTGGTGAAATTTACTCGATACGCGCACTTAATCTCGCTTCTCATAGTGTTATCGTTACCGCGAAGCGTTATGGAACTTTTATCTTTATCACCGTTCTCATCGTCTTTGAAATAGTCGTCGCGGTCGTGGCCGACGTTGTATATGTAATCGTCATCGCTCGTTTCCGGTTCCTCGTTCCTGCGCTCTTGCCTCTCCTCTCTCGCTCGTCGTTTGCGATGAATCGCGGCTCTTAAATACGCACTTATAGCGCTTAACTCGTAAGATCCCACTGGAATCGCGATAACCTTGTCGTTATCGTCGAAGTAAAATTTATTATTCATGGAATTTACATTCGGTATCATATACCGAATAATAAGTGTTATAAATGTTATAAGTGTTATAAGTCTCGAAATTGGTTAAACCTAACTCGTAATCGTCGTCGTTTAAATCTAGAGGCGGAAAATAGCTCGCCGCGAGAACGCTGCTTCGTCCACAAAAAATGAGAGTCAGCGACATGATCGGTGAGAGCGGTCGAACTGCGCTCGATCGACGAACGACGGTCGATATTATAGTCGGCGATTTCTCCAATCGACCCCACGGAGAAATCGAAGACTCAATTGCCCGCAGATATTCTGATCGCGCGTCTGCTCGGAGCGACGATTGTATCGGATGTTCGCGTCGCGCCCGAGGTAACGCGCGAGTTCGCGCGGAGGACGAAGATTGCCGAAACCGTCGTAGTAGATCGCATCGCCCCCTTTCTTTGCGTACGCCACCCAATGAGTACCCGGTCCAGACGCGTTGTCTAAATTCACGATGCCGCTCTAGTAGGGTATATAGGAGAGTTCTAACCCAGGTCCTGTGGGGGGGGATAGCGTTTGCTTGCACGTTGGAGAGAGATGGCGCGAGGCATGCACTTGGGAGAGTGATAGCGCGAAGCATGCACTTGGGAGAGAGAGAGATAGCGCGAAGCATGCACTTGGGAGAGAGAGAGATAGCGCGAAGCATGCACGCGGATGATACGCCGTTCGCATGCATGTGGGAGAGAGAGACTCTTTGGAAAACTACCAGATTTAATAGGTCTCTCAACAGCCCCATCGCCAGGTCCTCCGCCCACCATGACGCGTTCGATGGGCCTCGACACAACACGGCTTCAATCAATAATGGCATATTTCAAACTTCACTTAGACACTTTACTTCACTTTTTAGACTTCTTCTCTATTCGCTGTCAGACACTTTGTGACGAACATACCGGGATAGACATTGTCTCGAACATTTTAGAATAGGAGATGTATCACTTTATGAAGAACGCTTACTCTCAGCTTTTGATAAGAAAACAAAAGTTAGCATGTTTCCACAGACAACTATTTAAAGTCTTTTAAATATGAATAATATATTATGGCTCTCGAACGGCTTTCAACAGCTATCGAACGGCTATCGAACTGCTTTGAACGGCTATTGAACGGCTTTGAACAGCTATGGAACGGCTTTGAACAACAAAACAATTATTTATACACCATTCAAATATTTAAACTCTATGTCCATGTACTGAAATGTAACATCTATATTTTACTTAACTAGCTGACGCCGCTATCTAACGTCACGTAATCTAAATTCAAATCATCGTAGGGATAAAATTCCGAGTTTAGATAGAGTTTAACGTTGGTCAATTTGCAGCGTCGAATGTAGTAATATCTTTTGACACAGCATTTTTTCCGCCAGTCTGCAGCGCAAAGATCACGATTTGCGGCTTCCCCAGCTGAGAGGCGGCTTTCACGGTCCACGAATGCTTGGTCGTATTATGCAATAGAAAAAATTCGTATAGATCCCAAGAGTGAAAACTCATATTCAAGTATCACCCGCTTTCCAACGCGCGTAGCGCGAGTGACTAGGATAGTTTATTGACCTCGCTTAATATTACATGCCATTGTACCTTGAATATTCTTGTATTGTATTCTTAATATTTAAATGGCCGTAATGATCTGGGGTGGGTCATGTATTCGGGCCAACAACAGGTTATATTAGAGTGTAAATTCAGTTTTTATGCGTATATACTGGAAGAAGAGAAGAGAGAGAAGGAAGGAATTTTTGTTGGGAGGTGGTAGGAAAGGAAAAATGGGAAAGCGCAGGCCAGGGTTGAGTCGGGAATCGAACCCGAGATCTCCGGGATGTGAGTCAGGCGCGCTACACACTGAGCCACCGGAGGCCCCTTGTATCTTGAATAATTCGATATCAGCTTGTAACGCGGTCACCTCGCTCGACGCTCGGATCGGCTCGTCGGTGTCCGGGTTCGAGAGGAGGGGAGACTCAAGCTTACGAGACAGTATAGGTAGAAAGAGATAGTTTATTCAGTTAGAGAAAGATAGATACGGTCAGGTTGGGCGGCTAGGTATTGCCGGCAGGCTCGAGTGTCACGTCGAGCCCTGCCTGAGCAACGGAAGTCGGTTCAACCCGACAGAGCCAAGTACAGCCTTGGCCCCAGGTAGAGGTGGGAGCCGGTGCAACCCAGCGGGGTCGAGGGCAACCTCGACTCCAGGAGCGGTGTAGGCCGGAGCCGGTTCAACCCGGCGGGGTCGAGCGCAACCTCGACTCCAGGTAGAGCGTGTCGGTACAACCCGACGGAGCTGAGTTCAGCCTCAGCCCCAAGAAGTAGTAGGTAGCTGGAGAGATCGGTATCAGGAGCTGGTCGGAATAGGATCTGGTCCCGATGTCTCGGCCGGCCGGGCTTATATACCCGGCCGGCGTCCCCCACTGTGCGCCGGCAGTCCGGCGGTGGGAGTCGGTACCGCGTGGGGACCCCGTGAGAGCGAGATAGAGCGTGTCAGCGAGCGAGAGCGCAGGCAAAGCGAGATAGCGCGTTCCGGTGAACGAGATCGTGAATCGAGCGGGCGTGCGCATGCGTGGAGCAAGATGGCGGCGAAATAGGTTGTGCTGGGTGAGTAATCCAGCCATGCGTGTCCATATATATATATATTTACATGCGGCCGTACACGTAGTAACGGCCCTGCCGTTACAAGCTTCAGTCGAAGCATTTCCAAATATGCAATTGTTGTCGTTGCGCGAACGTATCAGAATTAATTCGTGACGAGCGTTGATCACAACTCGCTTATAATCTTTGCAAAAACCCAATAGTATGTTTAGCGGCACGCAAAAATTGAAATAAGCTTCAGCAGCATTATGCGATATATTCCACGCAGCATTCTCCAAGATTTTACCTTTCTCGGTTGTTAGAGAGACATAGTTTCTAATCGTGGAAGTTATTCCAACGTTTCTGTTGCGGTCAATCTCCACACCGTCGAGTTCATATCGAAGTTCATCAAACATAAACGCGACACAATTGTTTCACAATACCACTCTTCCCCCTTCAGCTACTTTACGCACCCTCTACTTTCCCTCGACGTATAGAAAACTTACACATGGTAACGTGTACAAATCTTGATGTTGTATCGGTATCCGTATCTCGTCGCTATATTCAAGCGTTGTGTTGGCGTATGGATTGTACGTATGAGTCTCATCACGTACGTATGAGTCTCAATCTTGACAATACGATCGTCAAAGATCGGGTCGCCTCCGATATTCAAGATGTCAATCATATCGTTCAAGTACTTCGTACGACAAATCCCAATGATTTTAAAAATTTGCGATTCAACGCGCTGAGCTTCTTTTTAGCGTAACCAGATATTTGATTATTGTCACCCGATAGGATATTCGTTTATTGCGTGTAATTCATACGATCCCTCGGGAATCGTAATTTTCTTATCGTCGTTATCAAAATAAAATTTATTATTCCAAGAATTCACGTTCGATATCGTATGATAAGTTTCAAAGTCCGTTAAACCAAGCTTGTAATCGCCATCGTTTAAATCTATAGCCGAAAAGTAGCTTACAGCAAGAACGCTACTCTTGCCGGTCAGCGTAAGCGTGAGTAACATGCTGGAAAACTGTCGAACGAATACTGAGTCGCGACGGTGAATTGTCAGGCTTTAAATTCATATCGATCATCGACCGTTTGAAGAAATCGAAGACACAATTGTCCACAAATACTTTGATTATAATTTTGATATGCTGTGTGATTGTATTGTTATAGCCCGAAAAGGCTATATACGAATCACTAGATACATATTATTTTAGAGATATATTATTTTATACGATAAGACATTGCTCAACGTGTAACGCGAATACAGATCACGTTACGAACGTTGACCGAGCGAAGCGCTGACAAC